TATGAGTGTGCATGTGTGTGTGCATGTGAGTATGTGCATACATGTGTGTATTGGAAATATCCCAAACCCAGAGGGGGAGCCACAGCAGTCCCCTCAGAGGGAATGTGGGAGAGGCCCAGACCGCGGGGACAGTGGGGTTCTCATGGGAGCCGCAGAACAGAAGGTGAAGAAGAGGACAGTCTGGGAAAGCCAGACTGAAAGGGACAGAGGAGAGGTCAGGACAAAGCCCTGGCCCCAGCACCCCATCGCCCAGAGCAGAACAAGCCAAGCTTCCTTGGCCAATCCCTCTGGACACACAGCCTGGGTGCCCCCCATCCTCTTGGTCACCTGAATTTTCAGTTTGATTTGGAGGGGGCACCGCTAGCAGTGCATGGCAGGGCCCGGGTGCTGACTGATGCTTGTGCCCCACTGTGATAATCACTACCTGGCCTCAGGTAAGCACTCTGTGAATATCTGTGGGACCAACGACAGCAGACAAGCAGCTGGCACCCACATGTGGTCTCATATCGTGCAGAACCAACTTGTAACAGCGATTCCCATAGCTGCCCATTTGCATCCACACAACCTGAGCTCAGGACAGAGCGAAAGTGCAGTGGGTAGGGTGTTTGCCTTGTACGCAGCCGACCCGGGTTCAATTTCCAGCATATCCCATATAGTCCCCTGAACACTGCCAGGAGTGATTCCTGAGTGCAGAGCCAGGAGTAACTCCTGTGCATCGCTGGGTGTGATCCAAAAAGCAAAAAAAAAAAAAAAGAAAAAAAAAAAAAGAAATACCTGAACTCTGCCATTTGCCTTTGACCACTGCTTCATGCCCACGGACGTGGCCCAAGAGACAGCGGTCAGCAAGAGGGCTGGGACGCATGGAGCTGCCTGCACAGTGCTAGCCGGTGGCCGGCACACTCTTTGCGGGGCCTGACAGATGATAAAACTGCAGAATTGCAGGGCACTTGCTTGTCAGGTCGAGGCATTAAAACGAAGAGTGCACTGATCCGGTCTCAGCCTGAAAGGGCCATGGGGAGCCTGGGAGGCCGCAGCTCCTTCCGGTAAAGGCTGGACTGGAAAGCCAGAGGCCGGGGCTGGTTTCCAGCTGGCCACGCCAAGCCTGTTGGATCTCCCAGACGATGTAGGCTCGGCAACAGCTACAGCGAACACAGCCTCGAGGGGTTCTTGTGTGGGGTCAGAGAGCTGCTTCAGCCCGGGCTCCTCAGTCCCTTGGCCACATGTCAGCCAGGTGACCCTTCCCAGTCCCTGAACCTCAAGCTTCCCCAGAGGAAAGTTGAGGCAGGATCAGATAATGAACCCTCTTGCTGACCGCTGTCTCTTGGGCCATGTCGGTGAGCAGGAAGCAGTGGTCAAAGGCAAATGGTGGAGTTCAGGTTTTGTGGATGACAAACGGCCAGGTACCGGCGGTTGGTGTTAGGAGTTGCTTCTTTGTTTGGTGTGGCCCCCCAAACAAAGTAATAAACACAGAAGACAGGACTTCTGAGATTAGTCCCCTTAGGTAGGATTTCAGGGCTACAAAGTATCAAAGGAGACAGCCTTGAATTTCCACTGAAACTTAGATACAATTCAAGCTATTAGGCATGGGTCTGCTACCTGTTCAAATGCAAAAATAAACTGGGCTGAGCATAGGTTCTGAGCATCCAAGCCCTACTCATAGGTTCTGAGCATCCACGCCCTACTCTCCAGTGTTATTAGTGCCCATGAAACTTTTTTTTTGGTGGTATTGGGGTCACAGCTGGTGATTACTCAAGGCTTATTCCTGGCTCTGCGCTCAGAGATCTCTCCTTGTGAGGCTTGGGGGACCATATAGTGTGCTGGGGACCGTGCACCGAGTTATCCATATGCAGAGCAAGCCCCCTGCCCGCCATACTATCGCTCTGGCCCAATACTCACAAAACTTGCACGGGATGGAAAGATTAGCAAGTGAATGTACCAAAGACAGTGCAGCATGCAAATAAGGTTTCTGCGTGGTGTCAGTTCTCTCACTGTGCTTCTCTCCCCAGCCCCTCCATGGCTTTTTCAGTGGCTCCATCACCCCAACACTCCCTCCTTCCCCCCCCCCCATACAGTCTCCTAGCTGTGTGATCCCGGAGGCGGAGGCGTTGGGGGGGTCAGGCCCCAGGGCCCGGCCGCCCTTTCTCTCTCCGCCTGCGCAGTCCGGGCTGCTCCATCTGCCCGCTCGCCCTCGCAGCCTGCCGGCGCAGGAGAGCACATGCAAATGGGCCCTAAAAGCGGCTTGTTATTTTCACAGTCAGGATGGAGCGTGCTTGTGGGTGCCTGCGAGGACAGCACGTCACTGTCGGGTACAGGGCAGATGCCATCCCTCTGGGGGAGGCTGTGAAGTATAAAAATACCCAACCCAAATAGTGTCCTTCCCAATCCCCCCATCCCCACGAGAAAAAGCCAGCGCCTCTTACCCTCTGGGTGGGGGGGAGTCAGAGGGGGTAACTCAGAGCCTTCCTCAGACCAGGGAAGTTCTCCCACACTTACACAGGCCCCACCGAGTCCCAGGCCTGGGTGCCTAGGGTCCTGCTCCACTATTTTTAATTTTCTTCTCTCTCTCTCTCTCTCTCTCTCACTCTCTCTCTCTCTCTCTCTCTTTTGCTTTTTGGGTCACACCTGGCGATGCACAGAGCTTACTCCTGGCTCTGGCTCTGAACTCAGGAATTACTCCTGGCAGTGCTCCAGGGACTATATGGGATGCTGGGAATCGAACCCGGGTCGACCTTGTGCAAGGCAAACGCCCTACCTGCTGTGCTATTGCTCCAGCCCCTTTTTAATTTTGTTTTGCAGGGAGAGACTGGAGTTTGGGTTACATGCTGCGGTACTCGGGGCTTACTGCAGGGGACTGAATCCCGGCTTGTGGCTCCCACTTGGTGCACATGGTTACAAAGTGACCATGCAATGCCGGGTCCAACCCAGAGGCACCCACATACAACAACCGGAGCTCCAGCCAGCCAAACATTTCTATGGGGATTATTTATTTATTTATTTTTAATTAAACCAGCGACACTCAGGGCTTACTTCTGACTTTGCACTCAGGAATTACTCCTGGCAGTCTTCAGGGGACCATATGGGATGCCAGGGATTGAACCCGGGTCAGCCAGATGCAAGGCGAACACCCTACCTGTTATATACTATTGCTCTGGCCCCATCTGATGGTTTTAACTGATTGTTTCACTGTACAGAGACCCAGAAAGCAGGAGCCTATGAGGCGAATAGCGAAGTGTCCAGGGTCCTCAGGGCAAGAGCAGGATGATGATGATGCCCAGCCAGGAGGGGTGACCCACAGTGCAAGTACCCACTGAACAAGTACCAGTGGGTGTAAGGAACACGCCAGCCCTCAGCTGGCCATTGCTGGCCTTCGCTGGACACCTACCATGGGTGCGCACCAACAATGCACCTCATCTAGCTAGCTACCTTGGGCACAGATGACTCCAACAGGGGCCACACACTTGGGGGCTAGGAAGGTGTCAGGAGGTGACAAAAATAAAACGATAGTGTCCGCGAGATCCAGAATGGGCAGGTGGGGGCTGGCGGCCAGCAGGGGAAACGGAAGGGGCGAGAGGCTCCCTCTGTCCGTGACACTCCGCTGCTGCAACCCCGGAACGGGCCCTGGCACAGTCAGACCGTCCAGTGTTTCAATCAAAGATAAAAACCCAAATGCTCAAGTGAACTCTTGGGTCAGGTTTCTTCTCAAACATGGGACAGGCCAAACACAACACACACAGTTTTGCCGACCCCCAGCCAGGCTCCTGGCCGCCCTCTGCAGTCTTTGTGAGGGGAGGGAGGCCACAAACTGAAGATTCCCCCCAACTTTCCTCACTGCTGGGACCCAGTTCCTCTCTCTCTCTCTCCAGAGTCCCAAGCCTGTGTCCATCTTTGCTACCACAGTGCTGGGGGCCCGGAGCACCAGTAGAGGTCACTCCTGAGCACAGTGCCTGGAATAGGTTCTGAGCATCCAAGCCCTACTCTCCAAAGGGTGCAGGGAGTCCTCTCCCCAGACCACCCCAGGGCACCCTGTGTCTGACACCCACAGCTGCTCCCACATGCTCCCGCCCTCCCAACACTGGCTGGTCTTCTCCCTGGGTGTTCATCGCCGGCACTGGGGCAGATCATCAGGCCTGGGAAAACGATTCAGGCGAGCACAGCACTGATGCTCACCCAGGCAGGGGACTTCCGCTTCTTGCTGGTCCCCAGGGAAACCCTACACTCCTGTACAGAGGACTCACGGACGCTGCAGCTGCAAGGGCCCTGCGGAGGGGGTGCAGGGCAGAGTCCCCTGCAAACACCATCTCAGACAGGGCCGGGTGGAGGGGGAGTCGCGGGGAGAAGGCAGGCACACCCAGCTCTGGCAGCTGCTTGGGGAAAAGGTGACACCACCTTGACTCTAAGTGCTGCCTCCCACCCCCTCTAGTTCTGCTGTGATGGGGGCAGACCAGATGGTAGAAATAATGATGCCAAAAAGAAGTTGGGGGTTTTGTTGGGTATTTTAGGGCCACATGGGGTGCTGGGGATTAAAGCCTCATGCAAAGTTCATGTTCCCACCCTTTGGGTCATCTTCTAAGCCCCGAGAAAACGCTTCCAAGACCACCCCAGACTCAAGCACTATACACATTCAATGCCTGAGCACATGCGCCTTGCTCCCTGGCTCTTCCCGAGAGCCCCAAGAGAAATCCAAAGTATTATTCCTCACTACTGCTATCCCTAACCTCTCACACCAAGCTCCTGGCAGAACCAGACACAAGTTTGGCCTCTGGTGTTAGCCCAGGGCCTCTGGAACCTTCCCCCAGGTCTATGCATTCTCCATGGGCATTGTAAAAACTACAGATTCTGATTCAGGAGTTGCCACATGCAGACAGGCCACCCGATTCTGAAGGTCTTACGAGCCTCTGGCCTCAAGGACACTTTGGGTCTCAAGAGGCCGCTATGCTGAGCACCAACCTCAGGTCACGGCATACCTGGAGATCTCGCCCGGGGGAAGAAGGTCTGCTCACCTCACTTTTCACGGGTTGGGGTCTCTTGCCCAGCTTCATCTCCAGGAAGTGCAAAGGGGCGATCATGGCCCCAATGTTGCGGATGTCGGCGTATTTCAGCTCCTCTGCAGTCAGGGCTGAGCTGGGGAGTCCAGTGAGGGGGCCGAGCCCCGGCAGAGAGCCCGCAGTCACGGAAGGGTCCGGGATCTGCCCAGGCATCATAGCAGGAGACGCGGCCAGCCAGCCTGGAGAGGGCGGGAGGAGAGCAGGACGGTCAGCCAGGAGGGTCCAAGAAGGGCCGAAGCCCCCAGGTCTGGTCAGGAACCTCACCCCTTCTTTCACCAATGGCCTCAGGATCCCCGGCCCACTCCAGTGCTCTTCCTGCCCTTTAGTCCATCCTGTTCTGGAGGAAACATGATCGTCCACACCGAAGTTACCCCTGGTGCTGAGCATGTCCCCCGTGAGGAGCCACACGGAGCCAGCACCTGCAGTGTGACGGTCCTGGGTCACCCCCTCTAAGCCCCTGAGATCGCCTTAGATGCCATCCACAGAGGGAAAAGCCAGGGCTGGACCGACGACTCGCGCAAAACTGGACCTCGCTGGAAGCGGAGGAGCGGGATTTAAACGGCAAGAGACTCACTCCCCAGAGGAAGGATCGAGTGTGGAACCGCAGGCACCTGTTTAAGAGGGGCTATTTCTGGTCTGGCACGGTGCCTCCCCTCAAATCGCACAGCCTGCGCTGCATACTTGTCAAGGCACTCTGAATACAAGATAAGGCAAATCTAAGCTAAAGGTTAGTGTGTGTGCTGGTGTCTGTGAGGAAGAGACTGAGGCAGAGGAGATGGAATTAATTAGCGCGTGATTCCCCCCTACCGCCCACCCCCAAGGAGCCCCGCCCCAGAAGAGTCCCCCACTGTCTCTTTATTCTCCACGCAAACACATTCTGGCTCTGCCAGGCCCAGGATATTTGTAAGGGAATTGAGATTCAGGCAGGAAAGAAAGATTACACAGGTCAATGCTAAGGGAATGCTTGTTTCTTCCTCCTTTTCACTAGAGAAGCTCCTGGTTTAAAAAAAAAAAAAAAAAGCTCGTTACAAAATAAAGATGGCAGTGAAGAAAGCTTGTTTGCCAATAAAAACCAGAGTTCTCTGGTCCCTTACACAGGTCCGGCACATTCACTCATCCACCTACCCATCCACCCATCCATCACCCATTCACCCATCTGTCCATCCATCCACCCATTGGTCTGACCACGACCACCTCTAAGCCAACAGACACCGAGAACACAGAGCTTGTTCAGGCACCGTGAGTTTCTAAGTAGCCTCATAAGTAGCATTTTAGTTCAAAGCTGCTCCTGGATTCAAGTCCTTTAGAAAAGACGATTTCTCCCTCCGCACATGCAGTAAAAACGTCGTTCTGTAAACCCTGGTGGAGTAGCTTGGTCTCTGCTTTCTTTCGTCCCTGTCTCTTGCCATATGTCTGGTGGTGGGACAGGGACATCTCCTGTTCCCTGGCCTACAGTTCACTGTCAGGTAGTGTCCCCTTAGGACCATGAGATCTGGGGTTCCCTGAGCAGTTCTAGAGGGAGACGAACTGGGACCCTGCCCCCATTCGGATTCTTGGGTCTAGATTTCCAGAGAGGGGGCTTAGTCAGGTATCCTGCTGTCCCCAATTCAAAATCAAAGGTGTCCAGGGGGCTGGAGTGATAGTACAGCGGGTAGGGCATTTGCCTTGCACGCGGCTGACTCGGGTTCGATTCCCAGCATCCCATATGGTCCCCTGAGCACCGCCAGGAGTAATTTATGAGTGCAGAAGCAGGAGTAACCCCTGTGCATTGCTGGGTGTGACCCAAAAAGCAAAAAAAAAAAAAAAATCAAAGGTGTCCAGTGGCTCTTTCTTTCTCTTCTTAGGTCCTTGCTCAGGGGGAAAGGGTATGAGTGATTTCCAAAAACTTCAGCCCTCAAAGGCCTACTAGTCCCCACTTCCTTGGGTGACAAGCCCTGGTGAATGGCCAGTGGGCCTGTTACTTCACCCTCAGCCCATCAACCAAGTCTATCCATGAAGCACTTGTCCACCGCTTCCCATCTGGTCACGCTGCCCCCCCCCCCCCGCTCCTTCCTCTGTGCCCGCCCTGCTCTGCATCCCCGTCCTCACCCACAGCTGTCCTCCTGACCCCACACCCTCCCCCGCCCTCCTCAGTACCAGCGCACCCCCCCCCCCGCCCCCGTCAGCTCAGGGAAGGATCAGAGACTCATCCGACATCAGTCTATACAGAACTAACCACATCCTCATGAAGCCCATGTGAAATGGAAACTTGGAGAAGTTAGATGAGTTGTCCAAAGTCCACTGCCAGCCAAGGATGGTGCTGGGGCTGGATCCCAGGCTCCAAGGTTGAGAACCAAAGCTTTCTCAGCCTGCCCTTGCCACGGCGCTCAGGAGAAAGAAATGGCCTTCTAATGGGCCTTCTAATGGGGCACTTTCCGACACAGACCAATCATGCAGGATTAGCTCATTCTCCACTCTGAGGACCCTGGACTCGGAAGCCCACAGGGAGATCCAGGCTGAGGCTCCCTGCAGAAGCCCGCGGCAGCTGAGTGGAAGTTCAGACACAGACATGCGCTGCACTGGAGCATGGAGCCAGCCAGTGTCACCCTCTCACCATCAGCCCCCCAGATCAGGGCGCACAGCACAGCACAGCACAGCACAGCACAGCACAGCACAGCACAGCACAGCACAGCAGGCTGCTCTGGGAGGCCTTGGCTACACTGCACCTTGCCCCAGTCTTCCCGAGAGAGAACAAAAAGGACAGATGGGAGGACTCATTCCTGCATGGCAAAAAGATGCCCAATCTCAGCCACGTGGACACCCAATGGGCACAGGAAGTGGTGTCAGGCCCCCTGAACCAAATTGAGAAAGGAAACTCAGAAGAGGAGAAGCCCTACAAAGTTGCCTCTCCTAGACTTGAATGGAAGCTCCCAGACATCTGTAGCACTCTCCTCCTGTTGTTCATCGATTTGCTCGAGCAGGCCCAGTAATGTCTCCATTGTGAGACTTGTTACTGTGCTTGGCATATCGAATACATCATGGGGAGTTTGCCAGGCTTTGCCATGCAGGCAAGATACTCTTGGTAGCTTGCCAGGCTCTCCGAGAGGGGCAGAGGAACCGAACCTGGCTGGGCCGGGCCGGCCATGCGCAAGGCAAACGCCCTACTGCTGTGCTATTGCTCCAGCCCAGACCTCAGTCACCCCCAAAAGATTTATAACTAAGCTCATCAGTACAGACAAGAGGTGGGGGTGGGGGTAGGGTAGGTGCAGCTGGAAAATGACTGGTGCTTCCACAAGATACATCTCCTAGTGGGGGCAAGGGGCACCCCTCAGGTATGGAAGGAAGCCAAAATATAGAGCCTTGTATGGCCAAAGGCTCCAGGGCCTCCCTGTGCTGCAACACTCCCTTGCTGTGTGGTCACCAGCGAGTCAAGGAGCAGTTTCCTGGAACAAGCAGCAGTCATGGAAGGGGGTGCTCCCTCAGGCCTCCTGAGGGGTGGTGGTGGGGAAGTACTTGTTAAATGAATGAATGATAAATGTATGAAGTCAAACTCAGTGAGATTGAGTCGGCACTGGAAGTCTAGATGCTATTTATCAAGCCAGGATGCCGACACCCACAGTTTTCATTTCCACAGTCGACTCCCAGGAGTCCTCCAGAGGCTTCTGGATGCTTCCCTGCCTACACCATCTCTGGGAGATGGAAGCCAGACCGCTCTGCTCAGGCATGAGAGACTCCTGCCTTAGCTTCTGTTTATTTCTGTACAGATGGTATAAATGAGACACTAACAAATGATCCCCCGATATAATGAATTCTCAGCTCCTGTGGAACCCCACTCCTGGGGATCCCCACCCTCTGGGAGCAGTGGAGGGCCTATAAATTCTTGTCATTCCTGTTCCCCGATGAACCCATCCCGAAGACACCCTCTCTTGGGGCAGCAGGCCACAGGCGTTTTGTTGTAGCAGCAACCCCCCCACCCGCTTCCTTCCCCTCCAAGGGCGCCCCTAAGTGCTCAGATACAAACCACAAAGTCCTTAACACATGCCATTCCCAGGAGACACCCACAGCAGCTGACATTTGCCAGGGAGAAGTCAGCGGGGCCGAGTGGGGAGGAGCAGGAGCGGCTGCCTTTCATAATTGGATCCTCATTAACTGTAAGGAGCTGGCTGGTGATCCAAGGCCGAAAGTCAACTTTGGTGATTGGAAAAATGAAACAATTTGATGTGATTTATAGTTCAATTAAAAGGAGGGGGGGGGCATGGAGTGAGGCGGAGACAACCAGAAACAGCCCGGAGGAACTGACCCACTTTAAGGAAGACAGGAAAAATGACAAAAGGGGAAATTGTTTCCCATTTGGCGCAAGGCAAGCTGTGAGCTAAAAGCATCAGGGAGCCAGTGGTCTGAAAGCGGGATAAATACCCTCCGTTAGGAACTGGGATGTGGACCCCACGAGTCAGTTCTAGAATTGGGCAGAGCACCCGTATTGGCAAACAGGGCCTGTCCTTCAAAAGACAGGCCCAGGATCCAAAAAAGACTTTGGCAATTTGAGACACTGACCAGGAATAACTTGGAAACCAGCCAAGGAAGGAAAACGTGGCTTTGCACAGCTCCAAAACACCACTCAGAAGCGAGTCCCGAGTAAGACAGAAAGCGTCGGGAGGCCACAGCAGACCCTCCTCAGTGCGGGCCTGAGATTCTAGGGCACTGGATACAGCTCCCTAAAAGCCAGATTGAAGAAAATAGGGACCAGATCTATGAGTCTAAGTAGAAAAAACCTAAAGGAAAGATCTGATAAAGGTATCTGATTACAGTTATACAGTTATACAGTTTGGGTGAAAAGTCACAAAATACTTCCAGTCTAGATAATGGACTTGAGATACTGGGGGGGGGAAATAACATCAAGTCATTTCAGTCAAAAGGAAGGAAAGAAGGTGAAGACATGCTTTTTGACTCTGATTTTCTTCTCTTATTTACAGTCTGCGAATCTTACAATACCTTGAGTGTGTTGGAGAGGGGTGGTCTGTGCTCAGGGATCACTCCTGGAAGGCCTCAGGGGATCACATGCAGTGCCAGGGACCCAAGCAGGGTTGACTGCATCTGAGACAAAGGCCTCAACCCCTGTACTATCTCTCCAGCCTCTAAGTCTGGCTTTGATGGGTCAAACTCAGTCTATTCTTACAGGAAGTAGTCTCACCAGCACCTTCACCAAGAATGGTAAAGATGGGTTAAAAAGGAAAAGACAGGCTGGCTCAGGAGATGGCACAAGTTTTGCATGCAGAGAACCCCGGTTTGCTCTCTAGCACTAAATGGTCACCCCAGGAAACACCAGGTATGGTACCAGAGGCCTCCGGCATGTCGGAACATACTCAGGCCCCAACAATGAGCTGTCGGGCCCACTTGGCCAAGAATCACCCAGTATGCCCCCAGCTCCCTGAGCACCATTTAAAAGTTACCTCTCCCCCCAAAGAAAAGGCATGCTTTGAGAAAATTAGGATCAACATCATCGAGCTGCAGGAACAACATCTGAAGGGGGATTTGAATCGTCTCGGGGTAGGTTAGCTGGCCTCTGGGCAAGCAGCTGGCCAGGGCTGGCATCAGGAGCCATGGGTGGGTATGCAAGTGACCGCAGGCGGCCTGTTGCTGCAGAAGGACAGTGATGAGGCAGAGCAAGGGGCAACAGGGTTCACAGGGGAAGACCCCAGGGGCACCGGTAGGGTTAGAGGTAGGTGAGGCGCCAACGAGAAGAGAGTGAGTCAAAGTGAAGGAGGTCTTGGGAGCCAAAGCCTGGGAGGGTTCCCAGTAGGAAAGGTGGAAGGCAAAGTCAAGGAGGCAGGAGATACTGGGGGGGGGGGGGGGGTGGAGTTGGAGGGGGGCAGAAATAACACCAGGAGGGAGACTAAGCTGCAGGGGAGGGCTGTGCGGTCCCAGAGCACAGAACCATCTCCCAGGAATCCTGGCACACGAAACACCAAACCTGTTCTTGGAGCTTAGGAATTATCTGGGCTGATCTCTCTCCTGGAATCTCAAAGGATGTAGGTCAACCAGCCTCAGAAAATAAATAAATAAATAAATAAATAAAAAATGAAGTCGATCCAGAAGTCAAGGAGCAACAGGCCAGAAATAAACCCTAAGATTAAGAACAGGTAGAGAGAGAGAGAGAGAGAAAGACAGAGACAGACAGAAGAAAAGTGCCTGCCATAGAGGCAGGCTGGTGTGGGGGTGAAGGGGAGGCAGGAGAGAAACTGAGGACACTGGTGGTGTGAAATGTATACTGGTGAAGGGACAGGTGCTGGGACATTGTATGACTGAAACCCAACCATGGAGCCGAGGCAGATAAGAGCAAGAACACTGAGGCCCGCTGGCCTGAGTGTGAGTCCCAGGTATGGTCCCCACGAGCTGTGTGATCTTGGGCCAGGTCCCTGATGTCTCTGTGTCTCATGTGCTCAGCTGTCACGTGGGAATATTATTCTTGGTCCTGACAGGCTGCGAGAGCGTTCCATCAGTTTGTCATTGGAAAGTACCTGGAACAGCGCCTGCACCTAACGCCTGTGGAGTGAGCACAGCCCCAGGGGCCTTCTTTCCCCAAGAGCCCCAATGCGGGGTGACCTGGAGCTCAGTCCCCACCTAGCACACATCTGCCGTTCTGATGGCCTCAGAGGACTCTTCTCTCCTCTTCCCCACTCCTAGGGCTGCAGCCCTGGGGGCAGGCCATCCTGCCTGAAAGGGAGCAAAGTGGGGCAGGTCCGGACTGGATACAGAGGTGCAGAGATGAGGGCTGGCCCCTGCCCTTTGCCTTGCTTCCTCTGACGTTCTTGTCCCTGCTGCAGACAGGAACACGGCGGCAGAGGTTATTGGCACCCCGGCACCACCTAACCAGCTATGTTCCTCCCGGAGCCAAGGGGAGATCTTCTGAGCCCTCTCTCCCTGCACTGCGATCTTTCCAAGAAAACAATAAGGGGTGGCAGACCTCAGCCCTGCAGAGTCATCCCAGTCCCAGAGGAAACTGGAAGCTTTCTCTGGAGACATTTACTCTTCCCCAGAGATCAGAGAAATGCGTTTGCAAGGCCTGACTCTCCCCTGACTGAAAGTAGGTGCTCAATAAACCCACTTCAGGCCTGTCAGCGGGATCTTATCTGGAAGCCACGAGAAGTGCCCAGAAAGGCCTTGACGGGCCTCTCTCTGTCCTCTCTGCCCACTCGCCTCATCACTGCTCCTTGAGGTCAGATGCTCACAGCTCCATATGCAATACAGACATGCCAACCAATTATAACAAAACATTTTGGCCCTTTTTAAAGAAGTGTATTGGTGAGCTGGAGCTTTGGAAGGGAGCTCTGGAACTGAAATCTCGGGGTCACAACAAGAAAACAGACTTGAAAATGTCCCCACTCTGGTGGGACTTGGCAAAGCACCCCCCCCCCCCCCACACACACACACTCCATCCCCCAAGCCAGCAATGAGTGTAAGAAACAGGCGAAAATTCCAGCCCTGGGTTGCTAAGGCATTTGTTTCTGCTGAGATTCAAGAGGCCAAACCACATGCATGCACAAGAACGTGTGCGCCTGCGCATGTGCACACATACACGTGTGCATGCGTACACACACACACACACACACACACACACACGCACACGCACGCACATGGAGCTTGGCAGCCCGTAAGTTCCAGAGCTGGTAACACAAGCCACGGAACCGACTGCCAAGACAAGCAACAGAATGAGCCAGGCCCAGTTTCATTGGCCACCATACGCTGCATATGGCCCGGGCCGCAGCCAAAACAGTGTTCTCACCCTCCTCAAAGGCATAGGAGACCCTCTGTTTTCAAACACACCTCCACAGAGCCTTAATTAAAGGAAAATGGAAAAATAATGTGCCTGCTGCTCTCCCCCTGCCTAGAGAGGTATGCACACACACATGCCCATACACACTCACTCTATTTTTCTCTTCCTCCCATTTTGGTTTCAAACATAATTCATTCGCATGGAAAAAAAAAAAGGTCAACTGCATCCTGCAGCAGAAAGCAGGGGTGGGGATGGTGGGAGTGGATGGAGGGGGGGGGGTAGTGTGTGTGGAGGGATGTAGCTTGCCCTCAGCACTGGCTCCAACTGCTCAAGTTGAGCTGAGACTGAATGAATACAGAGCAAGCCAGCCGGGGCACTGGCCCTGGCCCCTCTCCTCCAGAGTGGAGCTGGAAATGGAGACACTCGTCCGAGCAACATTGCAACACCAGCTGCCCCAACGCAAACAAAGCTGAGCGAACCTAACCTTCCAACCCATCCTGCCAGGGCTTCTGCAGGTTGGCAAAGATGCCCAAGCGCCCTGCCTACAGGTGGGGGAGATCACAACGCCTGGTGGCTAGGCAGACAGGGGATGGGGAAACCTGGTCCAGCCCTGTCCCTTCCTAGAGGACAGTTGTCACTGATCACATCTCCTGGGAGGTGGCTGCCGCCAAGACAGGAAAAAAGCCAGAGGCCTCTACACGCATGCCTTCCAGCGGCTCTGCAAATCTCGCAGCACCCAGCTCTTCAGGAAGATTCTGGAGCTGCCTGCAGTCCTGAACGGAAGCCAAAGTCGAAAGGGAACAGAAGAGCCTTTGAGAAATCCGTCCTCCCCGTTTGAAACAAGGCAAAACCTGAACCAGCCAGCGGCCTGGCCAAGAGATCTTCCTCCTCTTCCCCAGTGCTCCTGGGTTTCCATAAAACCAGGGCCAGGCTCACACCTGATACCTGGTTAAACTCTCCTCCAGAAACCTGCAAAGGAAGATAAGGCAGGCACCCAAGCAGCAGCCGGATTTGCTGGAAAGATGAAAGCTAGGGGAGGTGTTTTTCAAAAGCCTCGAGGGGAAAGGGTGCGGGAAGGGCGATGCTCTGGGAACACAGTTCAGAGCCAGGCCCTACAGGACACAGAAGGCACCCACCCACGGTGCCTGGCCTTCTGCAAACTGCGTACCCCCGAGAGGAAACCTGGGCATGCACACCCACGCATTCTGCAAGCCCTTTTCTGACACACCGACCTGAGCAAGGCGTGGACGGGCCCCAGTCGGATGTCCGGGGCACCCAGTAGAGTGGGCAGCACAGCGGTCTGCCACCTGGCATTCTCATCCGCCCATGCAGAGAAACCCAGAGCTCCCTGCCTCCTTGCTCCTCCCGCTGACCCAAGGCCAAGCCAAGTCCTACCACCCAGACTCCAGGGGTCCAGGCTCGGTCCCCCACCTCCTTCCAGGGGAGGGGCAGCCACGGGTCCTCTAACCTGAGCTGGATGGGAGGCAAGGGCTGGTCACCGGGCAGGTTACCCTCCTTATGTAACCTGGTGTGTGAGATAAGGGAACCTCAAAAGGCCTTCGGGATCGCCCCTGGACCGGGAGAGACATCCTCTTCATCGGATGGAGACCCCTCCCCAACCCTTCTCCCTAGCCCCCGCACCCGGTCCTCCGGGCGCCACGCTCCCTCTGGGCGAAGTGGGCGAGAGCAGGCACCCCTCTGGGGCTGGTCCCCTGTCATCCCAGCGCCGCCGGCACTGCGCGCAGCAGCGCTGGGGCCTCTCACCGCCCGCCCTCGCCCCGGTCCCGGGTGCTCACTCACCCGCCTTCCCCGCCGCCCCAGGGGCGCACTTCTCTGCACCCCGACGCGGGAGGACCCCAGGAAGGCTCGGGGAGAGCCCGGTGGGGGCTGCCGGGAAGCGGACGAAGGACGGAGCCTCCCCGGGTGCGAGCCTCCCCCTACCCGCCCCCAGAGAAGCCCCCGATTCCCCAGACGCGGGGAGCCAGGGGCCGGGGCTGCAGCGCCCCGCACCCGCCGGGACAGCTCGGGGTGCAGGAGGCTCTCCCGCGGGTTCCGGGGCTCCGCCCGCGCCCGGACGCCCCGGTCCCAGGGGTCCCGCAGCCGGCGCGCCCCCTTCCCCGGTCGCCCCCCGCGCGCGCGCGCGCCCCGGAACCCACCGTGCAGAAGCCGCGGGCGGAGGCGGCGCCCCCGGGGCCCGGCTGCCGGCGCCGTGCCCACGCCGCGCCGCTGCCTCCCGGCGGCCGCCGAGCTCCGCCCGGTGCCCAGGCCCGTCCCGGCCCGGGAGCCGCCGCGGCGCCAGCCCCGCCGCCGCCGCCAGCGCCCCCCGTCGCGCCGCCGAGCGTCCCTCGCGTCCGCAGGCTGTGGCGGGCGGCGGGACGGGTTGCATCAGCCCCGGCTATATAGCGGCCCCTGGGCGGCGGGGAGGGGTCGGGAATGCGGAACCGGCCGGGCTGCCAGCTCCAGACGTCAGAGGGGACGGAGAGGAAGGGAGGGAGGGGACAGGGCAGGCGGGAGGGCGTGTGGATCCGCCGCCGCACACCCACTGACCTTCACCTCCCCGCACGCCGTTCGCGCCCTCCTCCCGTGCGCGCCGGCCCCGGCTCCATCGCGGCCCCCCGGCTCCCCGCCCCGCGCGGCGCGCGCGAAAGCAGGACGCGGCGAGCGCTTATGTAAGAGCATCCCCCGCGGCCCGCGGCCCGCCGCCCGGCTCCCACCCCCGACACCCGGGCCGGCCGGCCCGTGCCCAGCCCTCCACCTCGGGCCCCCGGCGGCGCCGAGCGAGCCCCGCACGGGGACCCGGGCGCCTCAGCACCGTGTCAGCCCTGCACTCGGAGCGCCCGGGGAGGCGGGGACCTCGCCAGCCCGGTCCCGGGTGGGAAAGGATGGGCAGAAGGGGAAGGCCTGGGGGTGCCTCTCCCGCCCACCACTCGTCCACCCCGCCCCACCCCCTTAAGCCCTGCCCTGGAGGGCCCGGGGTTGCACCCCGGAGCTTCCTGTCCCGTCCACCTTTGGAGGGTCTCAGCTGGCCCGCGATGGCCTTCTTCCAATGAACAAACATTGCTCCTGCCGCTCCACTGTGCCAAGGCCCAGCAGCTAGAGAGGCACCTGACCCCTTGCTTGGCACCACGGTTGGTTGGCATCTCCCGTTTCCAGACCACCCCCCCCCCGCCCCCATCCAACCCCCTACCTGCCGGCCTGCCTTCACCCGTTGGAAGTGACAGTGTTTATATTCTGTGCCCTTCAGCCTCCTTCTCAGACTGATGTCAGCTCATCACACGCAGAAGAAAGGAAGTGAAAGAAAAAGTTCATGCTTCTTGGAGTGCAGCTGGTCAGAGTGAAAGGAACAACAGGGCTGCAGGCAGATGGGAGCAACTGAGCAAAGCCTCAGTCGCCCTGCCTCTCCGGGTGCCGGGCTGGGGGTGGGCTGCTCCTCATCCCCCCACCGTAGGGAGGGCCACCTGGAGGAGAGGCAGAACCTGGGGACCGGAAACCCCACCAGGGCTCACCTTCACTGCCTGCTCTCACCCTCCAAACAGCCAAGTTAGCAAGAAAAGGAAAGGTCGGTCCTGTCAGTACAGACTAAAATGTGCTGTCATTTGATCACCCTGTGCCCCCATGATGATCAACTCCAGAAAGACCAGCGACATGACACCTTGACTGCAGCTGGGACAGCAAAGTCAGCTTCTCAGAGACTGCCCTGTGAGGTGTCCCGGGAGCCTCAGCTCCGGACGTGTATATGGAAGAGAACACAGAACAGAACGTGACTTTCTGTGCCTACGTCTGGGACTGTGAACAAACTAAGCTGATGTATGCGGGGGGACTAGTAATGAATGTGTGTGGTTAGAGCGAGTCCTCTCCCGGGCCTACTTTGGACTTGGCTGGGCCACCCACTCTGACTCCCCAACACTTTAAATAAGTTGCAGGGGTGACCCCGAGGGGGTAAGCTGGGTCCAATGTTTTGGAGGAGATGTTTTTCTGCAAACATAGCTTGGACTTCCTCTCCAACCCCATTGCCCTCTGCCAGGTGGGTCTGCAAGGCTCATTGCCTCTGGAAGTGATGGGAGGGAGAGGTTTAAGCTGGCTCAGCTGTAGGGACACTGGACTGCCTCTCCCTTCCTCATTGGTGGAGGTCAGCTATCACATGATCCAGCCTAAGGCAGTTTGGTTTCTTGTGTTTGGGGAGCCACACCCTCCCCAATGCAGGGGCCACTCTCGGCTCCGTGTTTGAGAGTCATACCTAGAGGTGATCAGATGACTGTGCAGTGTTGGGGATAGAACCCAGGCCTGCTGCCTGCATAGCAAGCGCTCAGCGGGTTAATACACTTCACTCTGACCAGTTGTCTAGTTCAAAGCTGTCCAGTAGCCCAAATGAGTTTGATGAGATTAGGACTTTTTTTTTTTTTTTGTGGGTCTGTTGGGAAGAGAGACTGCCAGAAGCTGGACCTGAAATTGCCAGGAGTTTCCAGGTAAAAAGGCATCCAGTGAGGGTAAAGCTCGCTGGATGCCTTTTACCTGAGAGGTGAGGGAGGTCAGCGATGGGAGTGAAAGATGCATTGTCTGAGCTCCTGATTTAACCCACCTCTGGATCCTTGACGGAGGAATCAGCAAATGCTGGCCAACTTAAGACTGTCAGGTTTTAAACCTTAGCAGACATTCAAGAATCTCAAGCCCTTTGCAAACAGGAAAAGGTAAAGTGGCAAAGTAATGAGTTCTGCAGACTTGTTCAAAGGAGGAAGTGATAGTTCTAAATAATCAACTGGCCTTCCTATGAGCATTTATTGAAACTCTATTATATGCCTAAGTGGTACACAAAGTTTAAAACACAGCTCTTCGCAGCCCGCACCTCCCAGCGAATTAGGGAGACTAACTTGGACACTAATAAACAGTGACACCAAGACCAGATATGCGACAGAGGCTGGAAGCGCTGTAGGAATTCAGTAGGATTGCTGCTCTGAAAAATGTTTCTTTGGGCCAGAGAGAGAGAGAGAGAGAGAGAGAGAGAGAGAGAGTATAAGACGTGCAGAAGTCCTGGTAAAATCCCTGGCAAGGTCTAGTCTCCGGAATTCTGTCAGCATCCATCCCCAAACAGAACCATACTCTCTGAGATTGCTGTGTGTGTCCGCCCACAAACAAAAGGTCATTTTTTAAAATGTTCCATTCATTGTTTTGTTTGTTTGTTTGTTTTGTTTGGAAGAGGGATGGTCAGTCCACTGAAGCATCTCTCTCCAGCTCTCATTCCATTCTTTCCTTTTTTTTTTTTTTTTTGGAGGGGGGAATACACAGCAGTGCTTAAGGATTACTCCTGACTGCATTCAGGAATAACTTCTGGCAGGGCTCAGTGGACTCTATGGGATCCTGGGGATAGAACCCGTGTTGGCCTTGAAGACAAATGCCTTACCTACTGTACTACCATTCCAGCTTCCCATCACTCCAATTCTTTATCCAGACTATGTTCATCCCAAATTATATTCAGCTGTCAGGTTGAATCTGAGTTTGCTGGATAAACTTTATAATTCTTTCCTTTTAGTTTGCTTTAGCATACTAAAGATCCTTTCCCCATCCCCAAAGCTAGATGTTTAGCTTCCAAAGAAGAAAAATTCAGGCAATTCATCATAGTTCAGCTAGGTATGATGCTATAGTAGCATCTCCAAAGCTTGGGACTTGCCACAAGAAAGATTTATTCCTCACCAACTGGAGGCAGCAGTGGGTGGAGGAGCTTGTTCACATACTCATGATGGCTAAAGATTGCACCTCAATATCAACAAGTATCCACAATGCAGAGAAGGAGCGAGCGAGTGAGCGAGAGAGAGAGAGAGAAAGAGGGCCATGTGCCAGCTGTCCAAGACTCCCCTCTGGAATGGTGTATTCATCTCAGCTCACAGCTCTTTAGCCAAAGCAAGTCATGTGGCAATTCTTAATTTCAAAGAGGTAGAGATGCAGACCTCCCGTGACCTCAATATGAGTGTTCTGGTGTGTCGCCCGGATGGCAACAAAGGGCTGCTGTCGCCTAGATGTCGCTTTTTAGAAGTGGAACATAAACACTCCAGTCTGAGGGTCTCTACCCAGCCTGAACTCGCAGAGGCAGGGCGGTCATTGACTTCCATAGGCTGGTTCCTGAGGATATTTGATTTTGCAGCTCTGGGTATAGACCAACCAATCTAAGTCTTTTAGGTGGAGTTATTACAGAACTTTTAAATATAGTTGCTTTGATTTGCTAATTTGATTTTTCTGTTTGTTTGCTTTTGGGGACATACCCAGGTATTTTTAGGTCTTTTTTCAGCTTTGTACTCAGAGATCACTCCTGGAAGGGCTTAGGGGAATCATTTGGGTTATCAAGGATCAAACCAGAGTTGCCCACTTGCAAGGCAAGCACCCTACCTGCCTTACTATCTCTGCAGCCCCTAATCTGCTCATTTGGAAAGTGTGTTTTAAAGTTCTTAGGTAAAGGTCAGGATGGTGTCATAAAATGAAACAATGTTTGAGATCAGATGTTATATATTCTACAAGTTACAGAGACCTGATTATGAGGTCCTAGTCGTCCCCCTGATCAATCAAACAACCACCAGGAGAAATTAGGTGAGGGAAATGAGCCTCTGACTCTCTTCCTTAGAGGGAATGAAGACATCTGGATGTGAATTTGGGAATGGTCTGGTTTAAAGTTCTAAAAAATTCACACAGATATATATATATATATATATATATATATATATATATGGATACCATTGAAGCTAAAGTATTTGAGAAGGAAATTCGTGAGTTGGGAATGCAAAAACTTCTCTTCTAAAAACCACCGGTGTGAATTTTATAAAATGTCATGCAACAAGCCTAAAGACTTGATGACAGGTCAGCATCTGTAGAAATGTGGTCCTATCTGGGTAAAGCCCAGCATCTTCTCTTTCATCTTCTAAAATAATAAGCCTTAGAGATGAGGAGAGAGAAAATTCTCTGCTTAAAATACTAGGCCCCAGCTTAGGGAGAGTGGGGCTGGGTGTTGTGGATGTATGTTGTTCTTGATATGCCTTTCTTTGGAGAACCACGGTTCTTTCCCTCCATAGCCTTAGAGGTATGTCAATCCCAGTGTCTCATCGCTCCTACCTTAGGATGGGAATGTGATCTGAATTGACTAATTGGAGTGATCCTTTCCTAAAATTACAGGAGTGGGCACATGACCCATCAGCCAGGGTCTTCCTGAGAGTTGATGTGAAGATAGAGGAAGAGAATTCCTTCCCTTTATCCCAGTGTAGGGGCCAGAAAGATACAAAGATGAAGATACTACTTGCCTAGGGAGCAGCTAAACCACAATCCTAGTTTGACTCCTGGTGCTTGTTGGGTTATGCACACCACTCCCCTCCCCCCCCAAAAAAAAAAACACATAAAACACCAGTGCATAGATGCAGTTTGCAATTGTTTCAGATATTTTTTTTTCTGTCATGGGACAAGAGTCAGACTGAGAAAGAAACCAAAAGACAAAGGAAAAGAGAGCCAAGACACATGAGAGAAGCCCCTATAAGATCACCTTAGACCCAAAACTTAGAAT